ACCAAACATTTTCCCAATTATAAAAACTTCAAAACGAGCTTCCAACAAAGAAAAAACTCTCATCTTTTCATCTGTTTGAACCTCAAAATCTAGAAGAACTTTGGAACGTTGAAACTGTAAATTTTTTTCACATCAATTACTTCAAATCGGTAAGTACATTTACGCATGTTTAATTTCGTTTTAAATAAATTAGTATACGTTTAAATAAAGAAATTTTATGTCGACATAGATTTTTTTTAACAGAACCTATCAAAAAAAATTAAACAGATGTATAACTTACGTTTAAATTACGCATGTTTAATTTCGTTTTTAGAACGGTATTCTCCTACGCCAAACTGAGTAAAGCTTAACAAACAGTCGAAAACAGTCCGACTGCTTGGCTGTTAAACAGCTAATTGGCTGCAGCTGATTTTTAACGCATTTTTCTTTCTTATAATTAATATTTGAAGTTAATTAAAACCATTTCCTCATACAGATATGATAATTCCCGTGTGTTATTTCGGTGATTTCGAATTGAATGAAAATAATCGATGGGAATGGAGATGGACGAGTTACATACGTGGTTGTATTGCAATTCCTGTAACATAGAGTACACCATACTTAGAAATGTACCATGATTTGCAAAATAAGCTGAATGTCGATCAATCTCAATATGATATGCAATTAAGATATCTATTCAACGGTTATGGGAATTCATCCATTCCGATGCCACCGGTATTCGTTACTAATGATGCTGAATTGAATTATCTATTAGAATTGAATAAAATGCATCGGACTCCGACTGTTCTTGGTGTGACTTTAATTACGAAAGATATTATCGAAGGTGAACGCGAAGATTCAGATAGGGCGAATAACAATGATCGATGTTTTTGGGAGACAGTGGAGATAGTTCATGCGGATGATGTGGGTATTCCTGAGACAGTTGCTTCTGATCGTGATGTCGCTGTTACGCGCAGAATTCCGTCAACAATTGAAGACAATGAGAACATAAACGAGTTTACAAATGAGAATTTGATTGCTTTATCCCGACAAAGACACGAGCCTGGTGGGAGCTCACAGGTTGGAACAAGTGGACCGTCCTCCAATTCTTCCCATGTGGCTCCCGATGATGAGGACTTGCAGGTCGAGCAACTGTTTGAAACCAAGAAAAATTTGCAGAAAGCTGTGCACCGGCTGGCATTAAAATATAACTTTGAGTTCAAAGTAAAGAAATCAAACAAGTCATTGTTGACAGTTGCTTGCGTCGAAGACAGTTGCAATTGGCGCTTGAGAACAACTAAGATGGACACGAATGAGTGCTTCGTAATTCGCAAGTATTTACGGGAACATACTTGCGAAGTGGGAATTCTTCGAAACGATCACAGGCAAGCTCGAGCATGGTTTATTGGTTGACAGATAATGCACAAGTATCAGGATCCACGGACGATTTACAGACCTTCGGACATCATTAACGACGTCCGTCGAGAGTACGGAGTAGTCATGAGCTATCAGAAAGCGTGGAAGGCCAAAGAATGTGCGTTGGAGGATTTAATGGGATCGGCTGAAGAGAGCTATGCTAAATTGGCTAGGTATTGCCATAACATGGGGACAACTAATCCTGGCACGGCATTTTTTATTGAGACGGGGGGCGATAATTGTTTTAAGTATTTCTTCATGGCTCTCGGACAATGTATTCGGGGTTTTCGAAATGCAATGCGACCCGTAATTCTAGTTGATGGTATGACTCTGAAAGCTAAATATCAAGGCAAATTAATTATTGCTTCATGTTAAGATGCCAACATCCAAATTTACCCTATTGCATTCGGCATAGTCGACAGCGAAAATGATCTGTCCATGCGTTGGTTCTTTTCTAAACTGAGGGAAGTGATCGGGGAAGTCGAAGAACTTGCCTTTGTAACCGATCGAGGACAGTCTATAATAAACGGTATCGCTGAAGTTTTTCCCGAGGTACATCACGGGTATTGCATGTACCATATATAAGGTAATTTGAAGACTAGGTATCGGGGCACAGGCATCGTTTCATTGTTCAGGAGAGCAGCCGAAGCTTACAGTGCTGAAGAGTGTAATAAGTTCATGCTCGAGATAGGAAGTAAATCATTACCGGCGTTGGAGTATCTGACGAAGATGGGGATCGAACATTGGGCGCGGTCATACTTTCCAGGACGTCGATACAACATGATACGTCGAATAACGCGGAGTCTCTCAATGCATTGTTTAAGAAAGATCGAGAGTTACCAATTCTCGCAATGATTGAGAACATTCGTAACAAGTTACAACAGTGGTTTCATGACCGACGTGTGGCATCACAGAGTTGCACTAGCGTGTTGACCCCAGCTCAAGAGGAGAAACTGTGTAAGGCAGCAGAGGTTGCGAGGAAGTTGAATGTGGAAGCACTAGATGAGTTTCGTTTCTCCATGCAATGTGCACGTAATACGGCATATATGGTGGACTTGACTGATAACACATGCACTTGTATGAGATTTCAGTTGGAGAGTTTTCCATATGAGCATATTGTTGCGGTGGCCATGTATCGAGGCTTTGCTTCGAGAACGTTATGCTCTTTGTATTATACGACTGAGTCTTGGAGAACAGCATATGCCGAGACTATATTTCCTTTGCCGAATGAAGCCGAGTGGGAAGTTCCCGAGCACATTCTCCCATTTTATAATTTGTTACCACCAGCAGTTGAACCTCGTGGTCCTGGACGTTCAAATACATCTAGAATACCATCTACCGGAGAGTTTCCTCGATCGCGTAGGTGTGGTCGGTGCAGAGCCGTAGGGCATACTCGGCAATTTTGTACCAGTCAAATTTTTCTAAATGACAACTAAACAGGTACGTGAAATGAATAATATTTCCTTTTACTTTACACTGTTCAATATTTGTTATTTATAAATCTTCCATATTCAATATTTATTCTCTATAAATGGTATTTATAATAATTTATATGAAAAAAATAGTTCCATACTCGACATACGGGTAAAATAAAAAAAAATAATTAAATTTTCAATTTGAATGTTATATACATTGAACACAAATTTACAATTATTTCATAATTACAAAAATAATTAATTGAACACAAATTTACAATTATTTCATAATTACAAAAATAATTAAATTTACAATTGAAATGATACATATATATAAATGAAATTTATGGGTCAGTATTAAATTCGAACAAATCGCATGCTAACTTCTTTCTCTAGTTCTGTATCCACGACTAGTTGATTTCATCAACATTATATCCTATACTTAAAAATTCAACATACTTAATGGCAAATATGCCGCAGTCGCCGCTACAATTGAACAAGAATGAATCAGTTTAGTACTGTGTAAATAAAAACTAAATCTGAAAGATGAAAACAACAACGTTCAAACACTTACCTTACGGACTGTCGCGCTGTCGTCGTATTCCGAACGATCCGCAATCTATCCTGTACATTTATCCCCGTTCATCTGGCCATCATAGGAACAATTACAACCACGGACTCCAGGTTTTGCTCCATCTGGCCTTGTGTCAAACATGAATGATCTGTGTCGTACACATATATAGTCGAGTCAGCAAAAACGATCTCCAGCGTAACATAGTGTTTATTGATGCACGCTGAAATGTACATATGTGTACAACCCTCCCATGATTTTCCCCCGACACTCGGTGACAGTCCTATCACCCACTCGAGCATATATTCTGGCACCGTGTACTCGTTACCCATAAGTGCGAGCGACTGATACTCTATGGTAACGGCACCCAGGAACTCGATGTTTAACATAACTCGACCATGGACATCAAATGATTTTGGATGTCTTTGAACTCGGTCTCGCAGCAAGTCCATGGCCAGGTCGATGTGCTGCAGCAAGAAACACCAAAAAAGTATGAGTTATTCATTTAATAAACACAAGGTCACATATACATAAAAAACACGAAATGAATAGTTCACTTACATCGTCAGCGAGGCAAGCTCCCATCGTGGTGATATCGTGGAACCACTTGTAAGGTTCTGAGACCGTCCTTTGTCCTATCGTGCGGCTAACTCTGTAAAAAAGAGGGAAATGTTAAAATAAGCGTATACGAGTTAGCGTACAGTGCTTTATTAAAATCATACAATACTTACCCGGGGATAATTCTCCTCCACTCTGTCTCGAACGCTTTCCACTTAGCATTGTCCACCTCTCTGAATAAGTTCGGGTACGTCCCATCGATGAACGTCCTCCTCTTGACCTCAACTGTGAAGGGGGAACAACATACTGTGATGGCACTCTCAACCTCTTGCCGACCACCTGCTCCGTCTCGTTAACAGCATGTCTCTTACCCTCAATCACGCCGGGCGTCCTCTCGACCTCCGGGGCCACCTCCTCCGTCCCCTCCATCGGGGCCTCCCCCTCCGTCGCCACCACCTCCGCCCCTCCCATCGGGGCCACCCCCTCCATAGACAACCACAATCACTCCAATGTCTCATCACGCCAAAAATGTGGATGACCCCCCTCTCCATCACCATCTCTGCCACCCCTCTCGATCATGATCTCCGCCATCCCCTTTGTCCCCCCATCGTCTGCAGGCTAAATCTCCTCTAAGCGCCTCTACTGTATCCTGAAGGTCGACAACGGAAGACTGTAGTATTCCAACATCATGGGATAGATCGTCAACCCTCCCTGTCAACTCTCGTCCTATATCGTCGACCCTTCCTGTCATATAGTCAACCCTCCCTGCCAGATCGTCGACCCTCCCTGTCAACTCTCGTCCCAGATCATCGATCCTCTCCGTCAAATCTCGTCGTAGCGCGCCGACCTCCTCCGCTATAAATCCCGTCAAACGGGCATACAAATTATCACTGTGCCCCGGAGACACACGGGGGAGGTGTTTGGACGGAGGTGATGCCAATGGCGGCGGCGATGGCCCCGGCGGAGGTGATGCCACTAGCGGCGGTGATGCCTTCGACGGAGGTGATGCCAATGGCAGGGACGATACTCTCGGCGGAGATGATGCCAATGGTGGCGGCAATGCCCTCGGCGGAGGTGATCGTCGATCAGCTGGACCGCCCTCCTACATAAATAAAATGAAAAATTATTCAATAAATTATTCAATAAATTTATACATCGATCATATTCAATAAATTATATTTCATTCACATACCCAATCTCGGTCCAAGCTCGGATCAGGCATCTCCTCGTCTGGGGTGTGCGGAACGCCTAAATCCCGCACAAGACCCCGAGCCTCCTCTTCCATTGATGGCGTCAACTCAGGTATGACTTCAAACTGACATATTGACATTTCAACTATTTAACGATCATGTAAACAAAATTTTAAACTACGTATAATATAAATCACAAATGCATAATACTTACCTGAGGATCGTCGAGGAGGGCCGATAACTGCTTCCTAGTGGGACATCCTCCGCTCGCGATGATCTCCAATGATGCATCCGAGGGCAGCGTGTCTCCCCTCGCTGCACAAAGCGGGCCCCCAGTACAGGAACTATCTCATACACCCAAATCTGTAACACATACACTTATTAAGCATCAATGTAATACACTAAAACTTTAACTTTGATTATATTAAACATTTACATACACCGTTAACGGCAATCCATATGTATCGTATTTACGCATCGACCCCCTGGGCCTCGAGTACGATATGGTGAACACATGTACGGTGTCTTCGTAGCATCTTCGGCCCCACGGATAGTTGTTGAACGCATCGATGTCGTCAACAACTTGCAAATGAAAAATGTCGATGGCAGTCTTCTTGTGATGACACCTCATCACACTCTCGAGGATGTAGACCAGTCCAAGCTTCAATCTATCTAGCATATGATCGCACCCCCTGATCGCGACCATCAAGTCGGGTAGAAGCACCGACCCATATCCCTGGAAGTACGTCTCGTACAGCTTACTGCTTCTCTCCATGGCTGCATCGTCGTCCGTAATCCTCAGTCCAGTGATCAATGTAAACTCAAACATCGAGAAACTGACGACCTTGCCCCCGAGGTCGAACTGGAGGGAATCGCCGTCGACTGGCCTCAGAAGCCGACATAGAAGTGCAACAATGATCTGTCCTGAGTACTGCACCTCTCGCAACTGGTACAGTGGCCACAAGAAGGACTGTCGTAGCATATCTCCATGCTGATCATCGAGCAGCTCCAACACAGCAGTAAAACTCTCAAAGCTACTGTTCCAAGTAGCTTTCCCCGACATCCATCTCAACTCTGCATCTAAATGATACTCCATCCTGCAAAAATTCAAATATTATAGCATTGAACAAGAGATAACAAAAGAAAGTATAATCTCACAAAATCAAGAGAACCGAACTCTAACTACCATACAATCACAAATATTACATTTGAAAAATATATTTACAAAACAACAAATCAAATTAAATGTATTGTCAAAAAAATTAAAGAATATAAATATTATTTAAATAAATTGAAAAAAATCAAAGATTTTCATAAAAGAACAATAAAAGGAACAAAACAAATTGTTAATTTCGAACAATATTATGTATTCAATTATTAAATTATATAAAAAAGGAAATTATAAAAATTAAATAATTAAATAAAATAATTATTATTTGGAAAATATATTTACAAACAAAAAATTTCAAATTAAATACATTTTCGAAAAATGTAAAGACTATTTATATTATTTAAATAAATTTGAAAAAATAAATTAAAGATTATTTCATAAAAAAAAAGGAACAACACAAAATTGTTAATTTTAGAATATTTCAATTATTAAATTATATAAAAGACAAATATAAAAATTAAATAAATAATTACTTTACATTTTCGAAAAATGTAAAGACTATTTATATTATTTAAATAAATTTGAAAAAATAAATTAAAGATTATTTCATAAAAAAAAAGGAACAACACAAAATTGTTAATTTTAGAATATTTTAATTATTAAATTATATAAAAAAACAAATATAAATATTAAATAAATAATTACTTTACCTTTTTTTAAAATGTAAAGACTATTCATATTATTTAAATAAATTTGAAAAAATAAATTAAAGATAATTTCATAAAAAAAAATAGAATCAACATTGTTAATTTTACAATATTTCAATTATTAAATTATATAAAAGACAAATATAAAAATTAAATAAATTTGAAATAAAAAATTAAAGAAATTTGAAATAAAAAATTAAAGATAATTTCATAAAAAAATTTGAAAAAATAAATTAAAGATAATTTCATAAAAAAAATAATCAACATTGTTAATTTTACAATATTTCAATTATTATATTATATTGACAATGATAAAAAAAATTAAATAAATAAATAACATAATTACTATTTAATCAAATATAAATTTAATTAATTACAAAAATTATAAAAAAATTTAAAATTAAATATTTAGTCTGGGCAGTTCGTTAACCGGCCCAAACTGCCCAGACTGTTAACAGTCAGGCCGACTGTTAACAGTCGGCCCAGAGAAAGTCTAGACCGACTGTTAACGCAATCGGCGGCTGGGAACGGCCGGAAACCGTCATTCCCGGCCACTGAGCTCCAAAAAATGCCAAAAATTCACATTTTTTACACTTCAGCATGCCCACAATCTAAATACTCATACCCATGGATCTAATTAAACCAAAATTACTAAGGAAAGTGCTATACCATGAAAACCGAATGAACTGGAGAAAAGTGATGAAAACTAACCGGTTATTTTATTTTCGGTGTAGATGATGGTCGTTGATTGCGACGTTGGTGTAACTCCGGTGGTCGGTCGGTCGAATTTCTGCACTGGTCGGTCGGTGGTCGGTGAGAGATTTTCAAACAGTCTGAAGGGTAAAATGGGCTTTTACTGTGAAATTTTTTTTAACTTAATTTGTTTTTTTTTTAATTTATTTAATGGGTCAAAGGCCAATATCAAATTTTGCTACAATGGAAGAGCCATTTTTGTGTATTTCCCCCATTTTCTTCTTCTTGTTCTTATTATTTTTATTTTTGAGTCTTTCTCGCCATTAAATTGACTTTTAAACAGTCAATTTAAGGGAAGATACAAAGGACTACAATTGTGCTGCAAAAGATCGAAATGAGTATCTCATTGCCAAATATGAAATAATTGGTGGGTTTTTTCGCACCGAGTCCATAAGTTGGGAACCATCTGTGCAAACAAGCCATTTACATCGTTGTATTTTATTTTATTTTTTACTTTTTTAGATACTTATATAAGCATAATTGTCAGACTTGACCCAGACAATGCAGGGTGTTAGTGGTTTAACCAGTGACCCGATGGTTCAACCGGCGGGTCAATTCCTATCAAATATATTATTAGATATTTTCATCTCCAACAATAAAATGTTACCATTTTCTACCAATAACTAAACTAGCCTCATATTATTTTGTTAACTAAAGATCAATGTGTATCCAAAACAACACAAATCCTATGTCGTATGTAGTCAAATATGCATTTGAAACTATAAAAATAACAATCAACGATAAAAAAACAACTTTATCTAACAAAATCCAACAAGATAGCTTCACATATTATAATAATATGCTTGCAAAATTAAAACCGTCATTTAAAAGCCAATTTGTGGATAAAGAACATTTGAATAAATTAAATTATTTGAGATAAATCAATATTTTCTTAATTAAGAAGAGTTGGAGCGCATTTATGCTGAGGTCTTGGATATAAATTCCTCAATTCCTTCACCTTGTATAAATGACGGAGTCTCGGTCATACTAAAATCTTTGTTTCCATTGTTTGTATCACTTCTATTTTCATTGTTATTGCCAACGTTTTCATAACAATCAAGATCAAGATCATCAAAATGTAATCCATCTGGAAAAAAGTTCTAAAATTCAATGTTACATCATATATACTTTAATACGAAAAAGAAACAATAGCACTAATTGAACAATTACCGTCATTTTTGTCATTTTCTATAGTACATGCACTCAATTCACGACGAAATACCTCCAACTTATCATCTACCGAAGTTGGTGGCTCCTACTCTAACACCCAATTACCATAGATGCCAAACCTTTCAAAGTCGATAGTATCATAATTTCGACTCTTGAAATAATTCCTAAACAAAGTTTATAATCCATTTTATAAATAATCAAATATAATTCTAGTAGAAGAATGCAAAATCTTAAAATCAAATAAATCACTATAGGATGAAAACAATTATTTTCATAACATTACTGTTGTTGCAATCGTAAATTATATTGAATATAAACAAGATCATTAAGTCATTGATGCTCGAGTCTATTTCTCTTTTTTGAATGAATATGTTCAAATATACTCCAATTTCTATCGCAGCCTGAAGAACTACATGTTTGACTTAATATTCGAATTGCAAGTGTTTGTAGGTTTGGTGCACTACTACCATATCACATCCACCATTCATTTGTATAAAAAAATGAAAAAAAATAGATGTACATTATTAAACTAAAATTTGAGTTATATAATATAACAAAGTACATAATATGAGGATAAAATTTTACCAGGAGCCATTTTATGGCGATCAGCTACAACAGATAAACATCCAAAATCATCGTGTACTTGCCTAAAGAGTCTCATTTCACCCATCAATTTACTTAAATCGGGATGACCATAAGCATATCTCTCAATTGTATCTAGAAGTCCCGAAATAGTTTGTTTATGATTTTCCATATTATATTGAAAAGAAGGGTTTAACTAATATCCAGTAGCATGAAGATTCTTATGCAATTGACTATCCTATCGGTTTTGAATAATTTGCGAGTCTATTTTTCCTTCTTTGAAATCTACGTTCCATCTGTATTTAAATGATTTGATAAGGGTTTAAATGATCGAAAGAAATTTTTTGTTTGAACTCTCCCCTATCTGTATTTTCTATTTATTAAGAATGAACGAATGTTGAAATCTTGTTCATTATACTTGGAATCGGTTCTTGGCTAATTGGAACTATATTCAATTTTTTTAGAGTAACTATTGCAAATAAGAAAAAAAAATGATCGGGGAAACAATTTCTGAGAATAAATTTAAAATATAGTAATATGCACGATCGTATTAATAAATGATGTTGTTATTATGGCCGTTGACGATCGATAGTCAACGGTCAATGACCGTCCTAACTAGATCCAAGTCCTAGATTTGCCATTGATTGGAAGGGAACTGCGACCTGGTCCCCCTAAAATGTGCCACTGTGATGTAAGTTGTATATTCTAATATGATGTATCATTGTATCTTGCTGATGTCGATACAATGAAAAATTGTTTTGGTATGAATTTGAATGGATATCCTTAATCATTTGCATCCATTACACTACTAAGAAAAAAATGCTTTGAAAAATGAATGTGAAAACAAGAGTTGCTCAATTCCTAAATTGATAAAATTATTAATAAATCTTGTTGGTTCAAAAATTAGTCACCATTTCCGCTTTTGT